ATATATATATATATATATATATATATATATATATACAACTTTGGTGGTGGTTATCTTTGCTATCGTCAGGTTCTATAGTCCGCCTAACCCAGCGGGGCCCTTTTGTGGTTCGCCATTGAAGACCCAGGACTTAGGTTACCGGTTCCCATCAGTAAAGAGCAGGTCCTCATGGCTATGAGGCCTTCCCTTTTTGTTGCTCATCTCACTGTGGTACAAAAAAACTAGGAGCATAAGCCGTAACAAAATACCCGATATATCTCACAGACCAAATGGATCAGTCCTACGAGCTGAAGCGATGCAATTATTCGAAATACAATACATCATTCGAAGTGCCTTGTGAAAAGATGAATAGCTGACACACTTAGTATCACTCGAGAATCGCACAGAGGTACCGGAGCAAAACGTTTACGACACGAACCATTTGATAAATCAGAATGATGCAAAATGATGCAATAGTATCCATTCTATAGTCACAATCTAATTTCAGAAAAGTGGTCATGAACAAAAATGTGAAAGTGCACTGACCTTCGACAGGGGCTACGTCACGTTTGCTAGTGGAGAGATCAGTTGAGTTGCAATTGGACGCTTTGTTATTTGATTGCCAGCGGTTTGATGAGAAAGAACCGAGAACTCCGGTACCTGTGCCTGGTTTACCTATACGGGAAAAAAAGAATAGGGATTTTTTTATGCGAATATACACGAACAGCAGAAGAAACAACTAGATAGTGTTGGGCATGAAGAAAAATAAGGTTGTCTATAAAAGCCAATCAACTTGATTGGAACTCAGTAGCTTCAAGATGATAACCTAATTTCCTGATTGTGATTTCTCGCAGGTGGGCAGCAGTCTCCTTGGCACCCCAAAAGTGTTTTAGATGTGCACTCTGATGCAAACTTATGGTGAGGTAAATAAATCAAGATTACATTTACTACTCAAAATTTCGAATGCAGTACCAAATCGATCTCTGAAAAACGGGACCGAAAATGAAATATTTGATTGCTAATATCAGCGATATTCACTTTCATTTTCATTTTTCACAACCATTAACCATGCACTTTTGTGCACCGGCTTCGGATGCCGTCTTTAGGCCGCCAATTTTGATGACAGAGCAGAAGATTGGAGAGTCAAAGAGAAGACGATCTCGGGTAATTGCACCAGCAATGAATTCGGGTACGAGGAAGGAGCCGAACTGTGAGTCCAAGTCTTAGAAAGCGTGCATTACGAGTACAAAGACGAAACCCGCTCACAGGGTCAGCGTGGTGTAGGAATCATAGTAAACGATAAAGCCGAAGCTCCATCGATAGATTGGAGACCCGTTAGTAGTCATTTGTGTGCAATGAGGCTTGAGGGTTATGTTAGTGTTCGGCAGGGCAGCAAAACCAAAATGTTTATTCATGATTTCCGCATGTGCACAAACCAACTGCAGCCCCACTTCATAAAGAACGAAATTTAAAACAAACTTGCCGAACTCATTCGGTTGAGCCACAGCTTTGATATTGCTGGCAGGTGATTTTAACACGCAGGTTGAAAAACTGAGCGCATCCGAAGTCTGGCGGAGAGCGTTTCGACCTTCTCGCCCAGCAAAAAAAACAACAGTGATCGACCGCCTTAGTTCTGGGCAGATTATCGCTTATTTCTACCTAGCAATGACTTCCGACAGATCTCTAGTTCAACCGGAAAGTTGACTCACATTGACCACAGCTGTAAGCTACCGTTGGTGTGGTTCAGTACAAAACTGCAGATTCTATTGGACTAGGTGCGTTGAGTCTGATCACGCACTAGATCCACGCTTCCACTCACCAGTCATCGTTAAAAAAGCTTCCTCAGTTAGCTCATCATTGTTTGCGAGATCCATCTAACTGCGCACGTTATGAGAAGCTGGAACACGAGCTAGGAACACAGCGACATGGTGGAGTTGACCAACAGTGTGATCAAACCAGATGTGCGATGCATTCGACAGCAAACTTTGCTTGTAGGACCGAGTCCGAAGTTTGCCGATGACAGTGAGTCTCTCGAGTCAGTAATCCTGATGGAAAAAAAGCGAAAGATCTCAATCCTCCAGGATTAACATAGAGACCGACGGTGTCTGCAGCAATAGCGCAAGAAAGGCTTTAAAGCAGCAGTGGGACCTGACGGGCGATGACTCTTTTGTCAACTCTTGTCACTAGTTTAGTTTTCAGTATTTGGTCGGAAGAGCGTATCACTTTATCTAGGGGTGAATCGCTGATTGTTTCGATCTTCAAGAAGGGATCATGCAATGACTGCAAAAACCACCGCAGGATAAGCCAAGTTCCGTTCATCAGAGAAGTGTCGACGTCTGATATTTCACTGCTTGACACTCTTAAGGGAGATGAATATTCGCGAACAGCAAGCAGAATTTCGACCAGGTCGCGGTTACGAGGACCAAATCTTCACTTAGCATCAAGTCCTCGAATTACGTCACACATCGTCGGCCAACAATCGTAGTGTTCCTTGACTTCAAAGGAACCATCGATTCAGTTGACCGTTGCTTTTTTATCTCTTTTCTATCGTTACTATTTTGGTTTCTGCTCTTCCGAACTTGCCTTGACAGTTCCCCTTCCATTGACCTTCTCTCGTTAATCTTGATCTCAGGCGGGCAGTCACCCTTTTCAGGTTTCTGTCCTCAGATGTCGGACTTCTATCATTCAACCTTTTTTTCCTGAGGATTGCGGAATTGCGGAACACTCTTCCCATTTCCGTGTTTTCAAGCTCTTATAACCTTACCCCTTTCAAAAGCAGGACTAACAAATCGATTCTCACTTGAATGTTCCCCCACAGACCTCCCCCTTACAGTGTATCGTTGATTATGCGGTTCACCCCCTTTGCTGTAAATCACATCGTGACAGAAAAACCGTGAATCTCTTATGGGGTCGCGGCTTTGCAAAGGAATGCCGAACATATAAATCTATTGGTATGGATATGGTAACTAACCGACAACAGTGGCGTTCTTGTTGTCATTGCTTGTCAGGTCAGAATGCTTGAAAAGCCATGTATGCACAGTTAAGCTGTGCACTCAGTGTGTTGAACAGAGGTCCACTTTTTTTTGCTTCCCTCCAATCAGACCCCGGTTCTATCAATCTTGTGAACACAGAAAACACAGCAGCGATTAGTGTAGTTCGCCTCACTGTATCTCGCTGTATGGTGAGGATGATGATTGAAACTGAAAAGGAACTCACCTGGTGTGCGACTCCATGGTGTAATGTTATTTGTCAAAGTAGCACCAGCACTACTAACTTGGGACATCAGTGACTACGACAACGGTAAAGACGACAGCAACTTCTGCGGTCCAGGAAGTGGAACAAGCATCCAAATACTGGAAGCACGGCTGATATCGAGCCTCAGCTTAGTGATGCCTAAGGTCTGACAGTGCATGAAACAGAGGGCGGTATAGAGGAATGACAGTCTTTTAGTAAAAAATGTCACATGGGTGAATGAAAACTGGCAGATTTTTCGCGGTTAAATAAACAGAGGACAAGATATATGAAAACTAAACACAGTAATAAAGATTACTTCATTTAACTTTGTGGTAGCCCGAGTCTGGATGGATTAATGTGATATGTAGACCCTATTTTTCACACTAACAGTGACTATTTCCCCTTATTTTTCCAATTATTTTATAAAATTTAGATTTCCAGATTTTCGCGCCAGGAAAGACTCATTCCGCACTACCGGCCATACTCAATCCTCATTGGTCTATATTCCTGTGACTTATTACTTCCAAGCTAATTTCCAAGGTCATTGGTGGCCGGTCCCCGAACAGTATATAAACAGTGAGCTGCCCGTTTTCTCCGCCTTTACGGTCGAGCCTAATGTACAAACTCGCCCGCAGGTCTGCCTTCCTTCTTCTCTCTGGTCGGATTCCGGTGATCGTACTGATTCGTGGGGCGCTCCTCTCGTTACTGTCCGGCCGTGTCTTGTTTAAGGTACCGCAGTCGGGTATAACGAGTTTCGCTACTCCACCGCTGGGTCGTACGGTTCCGTTCATGAGTCTCCACTGCCGCACGTATCGCTAGTCGGGGTTCGTGCAGTCCGGTCGTTTCGTTTAGCCCAACGTTACAACATCATGTCAGCAATGACGAGGTTTGATGATATGTTGAAAATCGATACAAGTCTTTGTGAAGACCGACAAGGAGCACTGGAGAGCTGTTTGGGACTCGTCAGCAATGCGTACATTTTGTGTCCGAGTCAGATGGATAGCGGTGGTTTTCGGTCAACACAAAGATTTCCATCGTATTTAAATGCACTTACCTCGTGGGGAACTAACGACTTCCCAAGGAGAAAAACCCACAACCAAGATAATCAACAATACCTGTTGCCTATGAAAAAACGAATGAGACAACCCAAACATTCAATTAAATCGACAAAGTTACGTAACAGAAATAGATATCACCTAGCAAGTTCAATTGGGACAGTAGGCCCGAATCTGTCAGATGAACCTGGCTTAGTGGAGAGGGTTCAACTAGATTTAACGGATAGTAAGCAGTCATAATGCGCTGCTTTCCGGGCCAAAAGATGGTTGACTATCCATAAAGACGTGAAAAAACCTGGATTGACAATTCTTGTGAGCCTCAGCATCATAATCATCCTCATCGCGGGTGGTGGTGGCACAATGGTTTAGTCGCTGTCATCGGCGTGCTTTGGACCCTGTGGTCCGAGGTTCAAGCCCCGCCAATGACACCCAACTT